TATGTAAACAACATGTACAAGTTTATTGAAGATTTTCGAATAAATACTATAAATTTGCTTTTTACTAAAATCATATATTTTCATGCAAGAACCTTTTTGAAGTCATCGTTGTTAATTATTATTGGTAATCATAAGTCACTAATAATTTGTATCAACTTCTACTTATTAATAACAAAAATATCAAACAACTTTTTTTGACTATAGAATTTTTTCACTCTATGGAATAATATTAAGAGTTTACGTGCCTAATAAGGTATTACACATTTGAGTTAATCGATAAAGTAAAATTTAAATCATTTGACAAATCCAAATGTGAAAGAAAATGCTCATCACAGTATATGAACAAGATTAAATAATTTTATAAATGAGGAGTAATTCAAATGAGAATTAAGGTTTAGCAATGAATGAAATGGACATTGTTTGCATTTTTTGTATTCGAATATAGATAAAAAATGCACATAAAATATGAACTTTTATGAGACAAATCCAAATGCAAAAGAAAATAGTTACTATAGTAAATAAACCGGATTCAACAAGTGATGGATGATAACTCAATTGCAATTTGTGGTTTAGTAATGAAAGAAATGGGCACGATGTATGTTTTTCCTTTCGATTTTCGAATACAGATGGATTATTCAAAGAAGGAAGAGTTTAGACTCAAAATCTACTATGGAAAGTGAATCTACATGAAACTATCTACTTATGATATCACAAAAATTGTGAACTTGGAGCATAACACCGTTTTGTCCTAAATAAAGCAATTTACTGAAAAATCTGACTAACAAATTTGTGTAAATGCGGTTTGAGATGCCATTGTCAAATTAATATGGTAATATTTTTATATAGCAGAATAGTTAATGAAATATTTATTATTGGATCTAAAATCTTGAAAGCAATTTCAAAATAAGATTTAAGTCAAATTTCCTGAAATACCATTGCTTATATTTTACCAGTCTTTGGTAGTTGACGAAAGTCTTCATCATGCATCATAAATAAATTTTAACAGGGTTTAAGATACAGAATTCCAATTTTATATCTTCATCAGGAAAACATTCAAATATTATTTAAATTTTGTTATCAACAAATTAACGAAATTTACATAAAATCTCTTAAAAAATTAGTAATTAACACGTCGAAAACTCAAGCACTTCAATAGTCATCTCAAAAAACGAACAAAGGGATGCAAAAACTTAACGATCACAAATAAAACTATAACCAAAAAACAAATATCGTAATTCTCTAAATTTCCAACCGTCTAAGTCGTATGCGATTTCGTTTTCCCGCGGCGGCAAAAGTCTGGTCTTGACGGGCGTGGGGTGAGACGCCGCGTTCGTACCGACTGCCGCCGAAGACGATGTCGTCCTCATCGGGAGCGAAAAAGTCATCGTCGAAAGGCGAGAAACGCCTTCTCGCATTTGGCGGTAAACTGCCGCCACGCGGTAAACTACCGCCACGGGGTACTGATGAACGATCGCGGCGGGTCGGGGAGCGGCTGCGGCGGCCACCTGGGTGAATCGGTTTTGTAATAGAATAAGATCTAGGCTTATGCCGATTAAAAGAATAATTGATTTAGAAATATATAATGCTAGTTCTTAAAATAAATATTTAAGTATAATACTACCTACCCTACAAAAGTTTGGACTCACTTGGGAAAATCGTTGTCTTTTTTATTCATCATTCTCAGACAGTTTAATGTAACAGATTTGTTGATTATTATATTTAATATACGAGTTAAAAACATTTACTTTTAAAAAATCAATCCAGCCATTTTTTATCAATATGTTGGCCTTTCGATTTGAAGTCATTGGCGCGCATTTTTAAATGATAATGCATCGAATAAAAGTTAATTTGAATTCAAAAAAATAGTTAATGTAATTCAAAGTGTTAATTTATAACATTGTACATTTTACAATATTTCGAAAATTAATATATATCTGTACAATAAATAAATGAGAATAAAGAAACGCTCGAAAATTATTCATAAATTGTTTTTCTATATCGTCTATATAAACTGTCTAAGAAAAACGATAAATAAAGTGATGAATAAAAAAGACAACGATTTTCCTAAGTGAGTCCAAACTTTTGCAGGGTAGTGTAATATATAAGCTAGTTCTTGTAATACATTTTGGGGATTTTATGCCATTAAAGGCTATTCGCATTTGGCTTTGGAAATTTGCATCAAAATGATTAGTTTTAAATCCATTATTTGATTTGATCAAAAAAATTATTTTTATATAGATTGTTTTTTCGTATAATGTATTTTTGTCAGTTTCTTTATATACAGTCAACCCTATTTATATCGTGGTACTCTGGAAACGCAGATTTCATTTTTCTGGAAGCTGATATTGCGACACCCCTCCTATAGCGCGGTTTTTGTTCAACAGCCCATACATTACTTCTTCGTAACTTGACTAAAAACTAGATTTTGTAGAAGGTTTCAATAAGTTTTATAGTCTTTTACAATAACGTTATATAAACATGCCAGTTCATATCAAAGGTGTATACGACAACGTTTTAGTAATATCAGAGCTCTTTCACAGCACGTTTTTTTTATTTTTGTAAAAAATATTCAGCTGAAATTTTTATTTGTTGAGAACAATTTTTTAGTTAATTTTTGTTTCATTTTTGTCATATAGATATGTGCACTCTTAAATTCAAAATATAAATACAAACAACATGTCTTTTGTATGTATTGATCTTCATATAACGATTGATACTCTTTCTGAATACCGCTCTTTCCCTACATGACGATACGATAAATTAGGGCTATTTAACCAAGGGTCGCCATCACGTCTAGATTTTTGTTTAGTTTACAACAAATCTGCATATGTATATTGTTACCTAATAAATGAATAATCTAAAAATATTAATTTCTTTTTCTTTTTAATTTGTATGGGGTCTTCAAGAAACTCGTAATCATGAATGGGGTCCTGAATGGCCAAAGTTTGAAAAGTCCTGCCATAAACGGTTTCCACAGAATCAAGAATAAGAAATCAGAGTTTCTTATAGCATTTTTTCCATTTTACACGGTACGCACTCACTGCGTTATAGGATGGACTGTATAAAAAGCTTTTTATATATGTAGTCGATTTTTTAAAATACTGTTACTACATTACTGTTTAGTGCATTTAAGTAGATCCACTACTATATTAATTACAAACTGATAACAAAATCCGTATTTTTGAAATAAAATCAAATCGATTCTATTTTCATTAATAAAACAAAAAAGAAAATCTAGTCAGAAAAGAAATTTGATAATATGAAATAAAAAAGTGAGAAATTTTAATTTGTTTGTCATAATTGCTTCACGAGAATAATGTGATTAAGCAGCTTAGATATTTTTTGATAACTAGATGTTTTAAAAACTACGACAATTTAGAAAAAATAGGGATTTTAAAAACGTTTTCCCGATATTATAATTTACTCTAACAGTTTTGGAATTAAATCTAATATGCAATCTTAATAGCTATTAATGTGATATATTTCACTAATATTTAACTTTTTATAATGGCGATTTGTTCTTCCTGAAATGATTTCATAATTAGTAAATCATTTATGAAAAATGCGAAAGTGGAAATCAAATTTTTAATAAAAAAATTTAATGAAAGTTAAAGATTTGCATGATCAATAATTTAAATATGGTGAAATGAAAACATAAAGTATAATTTGTTTTGCGATTATTAGTGATGACTTGTGTACTTCTGTGCAAGTGTAAAGAAAGAACTTTTGAAATCGAGAAGTTTAAAGTATCAGGCGTCTCCACCGCATTAGGTAAAATTCTTTGAACGTATTTTTTCTACATTTCTAACTTTTATAACATTAAAATTTAATGAAATAACTAAAAGTAAATTCCAAAAACACTCAAAAATTCGGTTGTGTTCAAAAAATTTATTGAAAAATATATATAATATTATATTTAATTTATATTATTATAATATTATGACATTGATCGTTCTTTAAAACTAAATGTTATGAACTAAATTAATACTAACAAGATTTTGTTTTGCTGTTCTTAACATTGAAGAATTTATCAAATAAATAAATAATGATTAAACACAACACATTAATATATTTTATCATTTTTTTGGATATCATTTTTGCTTTTTTATGTTTTCGGTTAAAAGTACAAAAGCAACATATCTAAGCTTACACTTACTAGAAGAAATATAAATCGTGAGTTTTTCCCCTTTTTTATAGTTTAAACTAAAATTAAATCAATTATGTGTTATAGATTTTTGAATCGTAGAATATTATTGTCTACAATTTTATACTTAAATTATAATAAACATAAAATCTTTATTATATTCAGTATAATGAACCGATGAAAATTAAATTGATTTTAAGGTGGATACGCAAACGCTGATGCATAAAATACGCGTTTGAATTTTTATCAAAGTTATATAACACATAATAAAATACCTATTTAAAACGAACACTTTTATGACCCTTTTGAAAAAATATTGTACACAAAATATGACGAGACACGAATTTAATAAAAACATATTTTGTGCACATATTTTTATTCAAAGTTATATAGATTTATTTGAAAGTCATTGTTAATGAGAGTACTTGATAGTGAAGATTTTAGCTTTTTTATAAAATCTGATAAAACCGGTAAAATGAAATATCAAGAATTAAAGAAATTTATGTAATTGGTAAATTCAAACTATGCACTCATATTTTGTATTTGAAGAAAATGCGGCATTAAAATTTAGTTAAGAAATTCATAGGAGTGCATTTTCCACAGAATGTCCCATACAAAACCGGCATCACAAAAAAGACATGTAAGACATAACTAACATAAAATACCAATTTTCTATGAGACATCCCTCATAACTCTCAACTCAATCGTCTCTTATTTTTTCAATGTTCATCATTTGTCCACAAAAAGATCCATCGTTTAGAACAAGGCAATCTTACCGAATGGTGGCTTGTTGTCGGGTTCGTATTCTAAGCCCTTCAATGATTCGGGGGCGTTCTTTCCGGTGGAGGTGACTCCAACGGGTAAGGCGCGGTCCTTGAGCAAAAGGCCGTAGCGGGATGGGTAACGGGCGTCCAATTCGGTCATCCTGTCCAAATGGTCTTGCCAGGCGCGGCTGTGGTCGAACAGAGCGCTTTGGTATTTCTTTGGCACGTGGAAGCCTAATAATAGAATAGAATAATATTTATTATTTCATCTATTTCATATATCGAAATCATGACTCGTTCTGTTGCATTCAAGTGATGAAAACGAAGTTAAGAATTTTAGTAATTTGCTATGATTTGGAATTATAGATGAAAAGCAAATGGATGAACTATATTAAAAAGTAGTGTTTCAATTCTATTTTTCCATTTACATCGTAGATAAAGTGTTTATAATTATCTATTATATAAAAATAAGTCGGGTTTCCTTCCTGACGAAATAACTCCAGAACGCACGAACCGATTTCGACAATTTTGCATTCGTTGGAAAGGTCTCGGGCTCCGTGAGGTTTATAGCAAAGAAAATTGATAAAAGATTTCAACAGAAAAGCGGAAAACACTTCTTCTTTTTACACATATAGCGTCATCTCTGATTTTTAGCATGTACTACAAACTAATATTTTTTGTTTGACTGCTACTCATTTGTTTGACAGCTACTCATTGTTCTCTGCTCAGTTAATTTCATGTGTCAAACCGGTATTGTGTTCACTGTGAAATTGTGCAAAAAAGTGAAAAAATAAGTTATTCGTTTCCTAACATTTCAATTGGAAACCATCAAATCAATCACGTGTATTATGCAAATTTTTATTCAATTTCAACAGCAGGCAATTGATTTCTTCATCTTTCACCAAACGAAATGTTACATAAAATGAAACCATCTGGTGGTGAAACGGAGTTTGCCCGGTTTGCTAGTTTCATATATATCTCATTTGTCTTATAAATGTTCAATATGATAATATAGCAATTTTTTATTTTGATGTATATTTGAAGAATTTTAAATTATTTTTCTTAAAGTCGTTTTAATATTCTTGAATTTAGTAAAGCACATATAAAAATGTTTAAAATTATCAATAAATATATAAGTCTCAAAAAAAAAAATAACTTTTTCCTTATAGCTCTTTGTTCATATATTTTTAACTCCCGAGGGTAAGTTATAGTAATGGGCCAAAAATCAAAAATGAAAATTTTTGCATACAGGAGTTTCTGAACATTTTATCATATCTAAGAAAAAATAGATGTGTGTGAATGCATGTGTGGATACAATTTTTCGTCTACGTCAGGATTTTCTTTTCTGTATATCGAAAACAATTCGGATTTTAATTTTAATTTTGGGTGAAGTTCTAAAGCTCACTTATATACTTTGAATAAATAATTTTAATTTTGCAATTCAGTTTATATAATTTTTATAAATATTAGACAATGTTTTTTTGATAAAAATTTATTTGTAAATTGATTGTAAAGGATCAAAATTTATAATTTAGGGCGCTTTTTAAATATCAACGTCAAGAAAACGTGTTTTATATATTATATTTACATATATAAATTTTGATAAAACTGATCTGATATATTTAACTGTATATAAAACAGATTCTGGATTAATTACTTCTACTGATTTTTCTTTGTGACTACCAAAGTTAAACGATTATCTTGTGTAGTTCTTGTCACGTGCATTCGATTTAAATTAATATTTTTGAAAAAAAAAAATATAAATTATTGTAAAAAATATATTAAATTTACTATTTAGAATCTATATAATCTCATATTTGATATGCTAAAATACTTAATAAATATAAAAAAGAAAAAAGGCATAGTAACTTCTTAATCATTTCGAAAGTTTCTTTAAATTAATTAAATTAAATTAATTAAATTTGCTTTTTCCACTTTATAAATTATGATATATTTAACGTTTTGTACTGAACATTGCTAGAAGATAGTAATTCCGATAATCAAAATTAATAATTTTAATTTGACTGTTTCTAAAAAATACCAATCTGACAATAAGCATTTTTGTAAGATTTTCAGCCTTAAATTAAATTGAATAAATAAGCATATTTAGCAAAAAATGACCTAATATTTCATTTTTTAAATAGTTTTCTCTAACTTCATTTTTATCTAATTGATGTGAACATAAATTATAAAAATTATGATTAATACTCATATAAGATATGGATAAGATATGGATATTTATTATAACAGTATGATAAATCTGAAATAAAATGGATCAGGGTGAAAAAATTAAATACAACAGGTTTTATCGACAGCAAGCAAAAATGATCGAATGGGGTTATTAGTTTAAATTATTGATGAAAAAGAAAATTCTTCCAAGCAACATGAAATATGTTAATAGCATTCCCAATATTAATTTATTACGAATAGCAAATTATTAATAGAAATTTTGCGATGATTCGTCATTTTTGCCAGATGTTTAAAACCTTTTTTAATTTTTGTGTAAAATCGAACTTTTATTTCAACAACTGATTACAAACTCTTATAATATATTATAATATATTATTTGTTTATATATACATTTAACAGAATTAAGTAACACTTTAACAATTATATAATGCATGGCAGTAGACACGGATAATTGTAATAGATTTTTTTTTAAATTTAGATAGATCTCAATTGTAAATTTTGACTAAATCAGATACTTTAAATACATATTTTTTTAAAATAAATTTTCGAAATAATTGGAATAATCTTTTAAAATTTTATTGGCAGTTTTTTTATCCAGTAATCCAAACATGTCCTGCGCTATTGCTATTGATAATATGTTAGTTAACAAATTGGCTATTAATAATAGTTGATTATTATATTTAAACAAAACGATCTAGTTGCAAATATGATGGTGCAAATGTGTAAAAATTTGGCATCTGGATTATTTTTTCAAGCTGGCTCAAGCTGATTCAGTTAAACTTCCTCTGAAACAATATATGAAACAGAATATTGGTATTGGGCGCCAATATCTTTATATCACAAGAGTAATAATTTTTAACCCAGGTAAAGGAAATACAAGTTTATATTTGCTGTATATATTTATGAAGAAAATTCCACAAATAATATCAAATCGACTCGGCAGTGAAAATTGCCTATTTTAGCAAAAATAAAAAAATATTTTGTTCTGAATCACAAACTAAATCTCTTATAACAAATTATTATTTTTAAAATTATTCTTCAGTTTTATTTTCAAAATTATTAATATCTATAATAATGTCTTTAACTTTCTTAATATAATAATAAATATTAGAAAGCCAACAATTTTCATTATCTCATTTATATTCATATTTCATTTAACTTTACTCAAAACTAATTTAGTTAAATTCCAAGAACCTATATATTTACTTCTTAAATTATTTTCAATCAAAGGGAGCATTAAAATTTAAATTAATTTGACGCTAAATTAATTAAATTAGAAAACTATTCTTGAATGTTGATTTTAGCAATCGTCGAAATAAAAGAAAACAATGAATAATAAAATATTTATTTATACGTTCGACACTGTTGTGTGTCATCATTATCCAAACAATGTATTTTTACTTCAACTTTATTTCCTTATTATTTAAATTATTAATACTCAAAGAGATCATCTAAAAATCATAAAAATTTTGATTACATATAATAGTTTGAATCTATTCAGAAACAAATTTCAAAGTATAAAATATCCAATTATAATTACTCTTGTGATAATAACCTTTTTCAAATGTGAACATTTATTAATTAAAATTAATGATTATGATTAGTTGTGTGTTATGAGATGCTTGTGTGTTTTGTTAAGTGTCTAAAAAAGCATTTTGGTTGTTCATGTGAAGCAAAGCTTGCTTTTGTTGGTTTCATTTGAAATTTTTAATGATAAGGCATCGTCTGTATGTAGAATTGTGATAATTTGCACAGTTTCTTTGACATTTTAATAGATGTATTTTAGTTTAAAATACAGAAATTATGTCATATAAAGGAAATTATATGAAGAAATTATATCATTACGAACATTTTATATAACAGATAAATAAATATATTCTTATCCGTTATATAAAATGCTAAAATAAATAGTTTAACTGCAAAGAAATTGTGCAAAATTTGGTATTGTTTATATATGTATATATACATATATAAATAAATAAATTTAAATAAATTAATCGTATTTACAAACCATTGCAAGATAGGATAAAAATCGCGATAAATTATATATTTGAACAAAGCTTATATATAACAAAACATATTTTTTTAAAAAAAAATTAACAAGAACTTTTAGTGAAATTTTATTTTTTGTATGTTGAGTTTTTCTTTTCCTTTCTCTTTTGTATTTTGTCTTAGTTAAGTTAGATTTTTTTATCTGTTATATCTTCATTCGAAAAGTACAAGAAATACATGACACCGAACTCCAAAATTTGTCACAACCGTACCCAACGCACATTTTTGAAAAAAAAATTAATTACTTGTAAATAATTACTAATGTTCATACAATAAAATAGCTAACAAAGTGATCTACTTGTATACAATTAACAGTATTATTAAAAGAATTCGAACATAAAAACTTACTTTTGATTATTTAAAAGTAGTGTTCTATATGTTAATGTAAGGTACTGACCAAAGCATAATGGCAACTTGTTCGAACAAACATACTTGATCTTTCTCCCTTTAGACCTTATGTCAAAATCAGTATAGTTTAGCTTTTATGACGACTGTCACTACCATACCTTGGCACAACCGTACCCAGTCACCCCTAATAAGCACTAAAATAGTAAATCGCTTATATCAACTCCAATTTCACCCTTTTATCATAATTATAAAAATTTATTATAATGCTTTTTCATAATTATTATTGCTTTGAATAAAAATTAGTCCAAAACTTTATGTCGTCTGCAGAAAACTCGATTTTATGTATTATTGAGGGGGTAGTCTAAAAAAATAACTAGAAAAAAAAATAATTCTGAATAAAACCATTTTTAACTTCCCGTAGGGCAAGTTATAGTAATCGCAAAAAAATCAAAATTTTAAATTTTTATATATCTTTACGTTTCAAAAGTTTCTGAATATTTTGGCATACCTTAGAAGCAATGAATGTATGTGTATGTGAGTGTGTGCGTGTGTAAGTGTGTGTTCGGATACAAATTTCCGTCGACGATTTCGGGAACACTGATCAACCGATTTGAATAATTCAAAAAGCATTCGATTCGTATTGATAAGGAGACGTGCTGATCAGTTTTTGGCGAAGGCAGGTTTAGTCGTTCCGAAAATATGGGGCAAAAAGTGCCACAAACGGTAACTCAGTTTTTAAGAGAACGGAGCGTCCGATTTTAATAATTCAAAAAACATTTTACTTGTATTAACGAAATGAAAAACTGGTAAAATTAATTAAGGTCTAGCGGTTATGGACTCTCAATAAAAATAAGTTAAAAAATAGCCATTTGGCGGTCAAAAATGTTTATTGGACATATGTACATCAAATTATCAGATATTTTATAGAGAATTTAATATTTTGTACACATTTTGTGTAAATGTTTTTGGATTCCGTACCAAGATTCCTAATTATGAAGTTTTTTTATATGGTTCGAACAAATGCCCTCGACATTTTCGACAGTATGGAAAAACCGATTTGTATGATTAAAAAATCATTCGGTTCGTACTCGATCGCGGCGTTTTTGAAAAAGGCAATTTTGCCGTTTCGGAGGTATGGAGCATAAAAGGTGTAAAAACGGTTATACAGTTTTTGAGAGAACGGATTATCACATTAGATTAATTTAAAAATATTTTGCTTATATTAAATTTAAAAAAAAAAGTTTCAAAAAATTCAAATTTTCGAAATAATTTTCAAAAAAAAACTCAATTATGAAAAATTGAAAAAAATGATTTCTTACCAAAATTTGAGAATATTTCGAAAATTTGAAATAAATCTAAAAAAAAATATTTAAAAAGACGTTTTTTTATATTCCAAAAAATTTTAAACTTTGAAAAAAAATTCAAAATTTTAAAATGCACTTATAAATTTACAGTATGTATTTATAATAAATAATCTATTTGAAAATCTTCAGAACAATTATTGATTATTTTCATTCCTTGAATGTTTAATTACGGTACGGGAAGTTCCAGCAATTTGCCTTAAGGCACGATGCCATGCGCCCCACTAGTTTTTTAACATCAATTAGGTTAAATCTATATCTTAATCAATCAGTTTGCAAATACGTCCAAAACATCTATCATCTACCCATCTATCCATTATCTATTATCTGTACTCACTGGGTCTGTATCTGTCCAATCCGTCGTATCTGTGGGGGTACAGGTCCCTGGGGCTGTAGCCGTAGGTTTCGCGGTGGATTGGCAAGTAGCGGTATCCTGGGACGGTGATGCGTTCGGCGGCGTGGGAGGGGTCGTCGTAGATGCTGCGGGACAGGGGCCAGGTGGATGTGAATTCGGGGAAGGAGGATAGGGGCCTGAAGGCTG